TTTTTTTTAATTTTAGGGAAGGGTCTACAGGGTGTTCAAGGTCTCACTACTAGATCAGACTCATAGTGATCCACCTGGTTACAGCCTCCCAAGGGCTGGGATTAAAGGCACAAGCCACCATGCCCAGACTCAACTGCCGTCTCAGGGTGCCAAGGGGGTGGGGCAGGCCCAGCAGACCCGGAGATTGAACCCCTGGTCCCTGCGCCTGCTTGCAGTTGCTTTAATCCATTGATCTATTTGGCTGGCCTTGTATTTTAGTTTTAAATCTATGACTTTCCATTTAGTTGGGTCAGTAGTGAAGACATTGATTAGACTGTGCAGTGACTCAACCTCAGTAATTAATATACACATGACTTATAGAAGTGCCTGTCTGTTGACAGGAATTAAAGTAAATGCAGAGAACTTACTGTTGTCAGAAGAGGCCAAGACATGGCTCTTTCTCCTTGCATTGCTGGGTGTGGCCAATGGCTCATGGGGTACAGGGAGAGCCAGAGTTCCCTCACTGCTTTCCCTCTCCCAAGTGCTGGTGATGTTTGGCTCAGCTCCAGGAACTATATATGGGTGTGTGCCTACAAACAAGTTGATGATTTCTGTTATAGCTCTTGTGTCACCAGTGAATTTCTTACTTGGATAAAATAGCCTATGTTTGTTCCAGCAAGTTCTCACACAGCAGTCTAATTTGCTGTTGAGTTCACCTTTGGTCTAAGCAATCAACTTCTGTGATAGATATAGGACAGGCATTGTTTGACTTTACTTGATAGGTACAAGCTAGAATTGAAGGAGTTTTCCTCAGAGCAGAAACTGCTTCCGTGGTGTGGTGGTACCAGTGCACCCTGAATTTGCAGTAAGATGTAATGGGTTTGTCCTCCTACTCATTCTTCCTCTCCTTTCTTTCTTCCCACATGAAACATAGCACACTTTTAGTTTTATTATTTCTTTTTTCAATTTTTTTTATTTTTTTCCCATAATTTTATTGAGAAACAAATAGCAATGAGACAGTTTCAAACCAAATTGGTAGGACAGTTTCATTAACACATTGCATACATTCTTCCTAGTGGTTAATTGCTGTACAAGATGCAGACATGATATCCTATTTACAAACACTATTAGAACAAATCCCTCTATTCATTAAGAGAATGTAACTATATATCTATCCTAACCATTTTGAATACACAGATACAAAATGGACATTCATCCCCTTTTTTGTTTAGTTCCGTTATTTGAATATTATAGGTGTGTTAACTTAGCAAAATATTCTAAAAGAGTCCAGTAGTCTATAATAGTATTGGGTCTTCTGCTTGACTGGCAGTGTCAGAAATTGTTGATCTGAGTCCCTACAGCTCAACCTAACAGCATGGCTTTACTTCTTATACTTCATTTTTATACTTTTCTGCTGGATGGTTAAGACCAACATAAAGCAAGACCTATGCAATAAGAGTTGTTAGTTTTGTTATTTCTTGCACAGTGACCTAAATACTTGTTACATTACCTTTTTTTTCCCCCAGTACTGGGGATTGAACTCAGGACACTGCGCTTGCAAGAGTTTATTCTACTGAGCTATCTCCCTGTCCCTACATTACTTCTTAAGATATGTTTGTTTGTTTGTGACCTAACATTTCCTGACAGTCATCATCTTATATGCGAATACCTTGAGGCTGAATGCAGGGTCTGCCCTTTACTTGCAGTGGGAAGAGGGGTAGCAGTGATTCAAAGGTAGCCAATCGCCTGTACTTGCTCAAGGAAATGAGGCTCAAGTGGGATAAGTTTGATGGTGTCAAGGGGGGATGAATTAAGGCTATATTTATTCAGGGTGTGGCCAGCAATGTCTTTTTTCTATTGTAAAAAAAATGACTAATTCTACCCTTTTCTAGAACCTACTGCAAGTCCTAGGCAAACTGAGACTATTGGTCACTGGTTAGCACTTTTCTAGGTAGATTACAGACATTGGATGGAATTCCTGGCCCAAGTTTATTTGCAGAAAGTTATCACATCCCTTTCCATCTTCTTTTTAGAACAAATACTGGAACGGAGGCTCAGCTGGGTAAAGAAATGTGTCCAAAAACCTTTACTTGCACTTCTTGGAGTTAAATTGCTCAAGGACCCCTGGCTTGTTTGGTTCTTTGCCTGCCCCCAGACCTGTGCTTAGCCTCCCTCTCCTGCTTATTTGCTTACTTCATTCTCTTTCCTAGTTCTGTGTCCTTTCTCAGCTTCTGCCCAGCCTGTACATTATCCCAGAGATGTTCTGGTTCTCATGAAAGCCAGTCTATGTGCAGAATATCACTGATCTGCATCCTAACTCAGTGCTACCCAATAGGACATTTTTCAATAGTCTGTGAATTTCTGAGAAAGGTGCAAGAAACATCTGCCTCTAAACAGAAAGGAACTAAACACAAAAAAAGGGGATACAAATGAACGACCATTTTGTATCTATATATTTAAAATAGGATAGATATACAGCTACTTTCTCTTAATTCAATGAATAGAAAGATTTGTTCTAATAGTGTTTGTGGACAGGATATCATGTTTGCATCTTGTACAATGAATAGCCCCTATGACAACAATATGCAATGTATTAATTATTGAAACTCCTATGAATCAGTTCTGAAACTGTCTCATGGTTATTTGTTTCTCAATAAAATTATTTAAAAAACAAACAAACAGAGAGGGAGCCAGTAGTTCCTAGAATTATGAGACAAGCCCAGCATGGCGAGGGAATGAGCTGACTGGGGGTTAGTTGCAGGCCAGTGGAGGGCTCACGGCCTGCACTGCTGAAGCATGCCCACTCCATTTGCTAAGCTGCTGATTTTATTTAGCTCTAATTAAAACAGCCAGAGGTAGGCTCAAGGAAGGAAGAATCCTTGGAAGAAAGTATGTATACTCCAGTTCCATCCCATCCCATCCCATCCCATCCCATCCCATCCCATCCCATCCCATCCCATCCCATCCCCGTTGAGAACTTTGTTAGCCTCAACAAGTGCTGTTAAGCTACAGCGGTGTATGAGTGGGTCATTCTGCAGTCTAGCACACAGCCTAGCACCTGGCAAGAGCCCTGTAGCCAGCTTAAGAGCAGCCCACGACAGCATGGAGTTATACTGTATTGCCTGGGGTTTGGAAGACTGTTCTCTTACATACAATGGTCAAAATGTTCCTTATCTGCACTGCTCTAGTATGGAAGCCACAAGTCGCAGGAGGCTGTTGAGCTCTTGTCTTGTGCTCAGTGTGTGCTTGACATGTGCCTAGCACAGTGGAGAAGCTGATATTTAAATTTTTTTTATTTTTTATTTTATTTTATTGAGAAACAAATATCAATGAGACAGTTTCAAAGCTGATTAATAGGACATTTTCAATAATTAATACATTGTACATTGTTATCTTCTTAGTGGTTAACCATAGTACTGGAAGCAGACAGGATATCCTGTCTAAACACTATCAGTACAAATCTTTCTTCTCATTGAATTAAGCGAAAGTAGCTGTATATTTATCCTAACTATTCTGTATATACAGATACAAAATGGTCCTTCCTTTGTATCCTCCTTTTTTTTGTTTAGTCCTGTCAGAGATGGAAATTATATTGGCATCTAAATACTATAGGTGCTTGAATTCAGCAAAACAATCCAACACAGTCTAGCAGTCCACAATAGTAGTGGGTTATCCACAGAAGTTGTTGACTTGAGCCTTTTATAGCTCAGCATATTAATATGGCTTTGCTTTATATACCTCATTTTTATACTTTTCTGCTGGATGGTTAAGACCAAGACAAAGCAAGACCTATATAACAAGAGATGTAACTTTTATATCTGCCAAGGTCAGTCAAGTACCCTCAGGATTTATCCTGTAACCCTGTACCGCACTTTGTAGATCCTTTGTCAGTGTCAGCCATGAGGATGAGTCATGGCCATTGCTTGACCAATTTGCTCTCTGTAAAAGCCTGAGAGAAAGTTTTCTCTCCATGTGACTCTCCTTAGGTACACTATACATCACTGATCACATTCCTCTGTGACTTCATAATCTCCTGGATCAGAAAATTTGGGGCACAACTGAGTTACATGATGTTACAGTACAGGTTCTCCTATGTCCTCAGTCTTCACTGACATTGAAAGGCTAGGGCCAAAATGTTGGCTGAAACATTTCCTTTTCTCCAATTTTTGATCTGCAAACTTAAGTTGTTAACCCTCCAGAAGAGAAGCTTATTACCCTGCAGCATATGCAGTTCGGTTTACCCTATCTGTCTAAATATCAAACATCTTAGGCATAACGTGGAACAGGTATTTTCATCAAGTATTGATGTGTTGAACTTTAATTCCTTACAGAATATAAAGAAAAAAATTTAAAAAGGGAATAAACATATTTTTACACAGAAATTTAGAAATCTGACCATATACAGCATTGTAGCAGGACAGTCCTGTGACTTTTTTTTCTTTTTCTTGTGTCTTTTTTTTCATTTATTACCCATTTAAAAAAAAACAAAAAACTTTTACTCGTGAGACAGTATGGTAATAATTGGTATATCATGACAAGAAGTATGTATTTAGAAGACCAGAATGACAGACATTCCCAGTATGACCCTTCTATTACACATTGCTATCTTCAGTGCAGTTGCTTGGTTCACAGGTATCAACATATATAGTTAGTCAGGGTGAGAATCCTACCAATTAACTGCTAGTTCCAAAAACCTGCTGATGTTTCTCAGGATCATTGCCTTGCCCATCTTGTGCATACAAATGTATGACAAAGCCATACATTTGAGAAGCTGATTTTAATTAATAAACTTCAATGGTTATCTGTGACAATGTGAATGATACACTAAAGTGAACTTTAGTTCTTTCATTGACAATATAAGCAGTTGTCACTGGTGTCACTGGATTTGTCAGCATTGGCTAATCTGTAGTGCTTTACGTTTACTGCTCACTTATCTTGAGTTTGCATGCTTGTTATCCTATTAGTGTTCTGTTTTTGTTTTCGTCATTGTTTGATGGCTTGAAACTTTTGATTTCCTACAGGTTCAGCTAAATGAAGACAAATCTACAACTTTGAAACTAGCTGATTTTGGCCTGGCAAAACATGTAGTCAGACCTATATTTACTGTGTGTGGAACTCCAACTTATGTAGCTCCCGAAATTCTTTCTGAGAAGGGTGAGTGTCATATACCTCTCTGTGGTATTCTAGGTCACCTGTTAACAAATGTATTAATTTTAATATTTTGTATTTTTCAATATCGAGCAATGAAATATCTCTGAGTTGCAGCTAAGGTTTTAACTGAAAATATTTCAGGCTTCTTTGACCAAAGCGTGAGAGCGTTTGTCTCATCAATTGTTGGGAGAAAAGGAGGAACTAAAATATGAGTTCAGCACTTTGGACAGGTTTATTTAGGAAAACCTGAGAAAAACCACCCTGGCACTGAGATGAGACCAGTGACTCTCCTCACCAGTTTCTGCTGTCTTTCATCTCACCATGCTGTGAATGCTTTGAGGGCTTTTGTAGGGCTGTAAGCAGCAAAAGGGGTCTGTGAGCAGGAAGGTTCCATGAAAAGGACTTGTGGCTGTCTGCTAAAGAGAAGCTTGAGAAGTGCAGGGTGTGATGGTTGCCTGTCAGAGCAGTGCTGAGGAATGTGATGGGAGTTATGGAGTAAGCCATGCAATGTGGGCCTCATTAACCCATGAGTATACGTCTTCAGCAGATGTGAAAGCGTAAGGGGATGGGATATGCTCAGACAGTTCTCTCAGTAGCATAGGGTGGCAGCAGTTGGATTCCTTCATCAATCAAGGCTTCTCTTGTTATAGAGGACAGATTGGTTTGTGTGTGTGTATGTGTGTGTGTGCACATGCGTGCTTACAGGACATGCATGTGCAGGATAGTGAGCTGAAAGAGGGCAGAGAATTGTGCGAAGAAGCAGAGCAAAGAGGGTCACTTTTTGCTGCTGACCCAAGCCTACTGCTAATGGAAAGAATGGAACCAGTTCTTATGGTGTTTAGTTTAAAAATTCTTTCCCCAACCTTGCATTTAAGGGAAAATGGGATCCCATTTCAAACTCTGCAAATATTTATTGTCTCCTTGTGTTTTTTATGAGGATCTGATAAATTGTTTTAGCAACATACTCTGCAAAGTATGTAAAAAAGGAAGAATTATTACATGGCTCCACATTTATGGATGACCTTTGACTAGTGTGACACTCAGAAGGAGTAGACTTACCCACCCAGGTAAGATGTAGGGCTCTGGGTACATTGTAGGCTTAGTTGTAGGGTGGGGAGGAGGGAAAGTTTCCCAACAGCAGAAGCATCAAGAAAACTAAGAGAGGAGACTAGGACATGCAAAGATCTGGGCTGCAGAGACTTTGAGAAGAGTGCCCTCAGCACACCAGAGAGAGTATGGTTGGTGGGATAGCTGAACCTAGGTTCACCACGAGTACCCTCAGCACACCAGAGTTGGTGGGATAGTTGAACCTAGGCTCACCACAAGTGGATGACCAGCATGACAGCCACTTCAGTGCTGTGACAGTGGGACAGGAAAATACAGAGGGACATTTCATGGAAACAATGAACTGGATAAGAGAAGAAAAAACAAAGGACAGCATGGATACTAGGGAAAACCACACACTGATGTTAGCACTAACCAAAGTAGAGTGTTGAAAATAAACAGGGAGAAGGGTGTGGGGAGAGTTAAAATTGGCCACAGTGGTATTGTAGAGGTATCAGAGTGGAGTTGTGCATTGGGAAGGAAAGGGAGCCTTCAGCAGTTCTGAGACTTTGTCAAGATGGTGGCTGAGCCAATGAGATGACAAGCTCCTTAGGGTTGTTGATGTGGAGAGGTAAGCATGGACCCAAGTGAGGTCCAGAGTCCTGGCACGAGAGAAGGAAGGACCGGTCGCCTGAGGTGGGGCCACCTGAGAAGGGAGAGGATTGGGACGAGCAGTGACACAGAGGCCAGCAGCAGATGTCCAGAAGACAGAGAAGCCCAACAGAACCAGTACCCTTTGAGAGAACTGCGCAGATGCTGTCAAAATCAGCCAGGGCACGATGGCGCACACTTGTCATCCCACAGTAGCACTCTGGAGACCAAGACAGGAGGATCACAAGTCTGAACACAGCCTTGACAACCTAGTGACTGAGCAAGATTATATTTCAGATAGGCACTTCTGCTGTTCAGCTATCGCCCCAGCCCTGTAGTTCAAAACTGAATGAAAGAGCAAATACACAAATAAAGGGCTGGGGAATTAGCTCAGTGTGAAGGCCCCGTGTCCAACCCCTAGCCTCAGGGAAAAAGCCAGAAGAGTTCACCAGTGACTTATTTTTAAAATTTATTCTAGCTGATTTGTATTTTGATGGACTTAACTGAATCTTAATAATAAACATCTGACTTTTTTTTTTTTCTCAAAAGAAGATAAAAATTTACTTAAGAATTCTGGATTCCAGTGCAATTATTACTTAGTTCAAGAAAATAGAGCTTGAAATCATTCCTATTGCAATTATCAATAATAGCTTTTTAAAAATGAAAATGAAAAAGCAGTTTCAATCAAAGGTACAAATCTTTACAAAGTATTTATAATATAAAATTTATCATATGGCTACATGTCAAATCC